CCCCCCTCCTTCTCATCCCTCCCGTCTCTTCCCCGCCTCCGGGCGGGGCCGCTCCGCCGCTGTCGCGGAAACGTGCCCCGGCTCCGCTTCCCCAGGGCTGCCCGGGAGGAGGGACACACCGGGGGGAGGCCTCCCGCCGCGCTGCCCCGGCAGGCTCCCAGCTGGGGTTGCAGACGGGGGCCGTTCCCCTGGGGACAAGCCTGCATTGCCCGGGCCCTGCAGCGCACCGGCTGAGCCTGCCTCTGCGTTCAGAAATAATAACCAATAGTGACAAAAGCTGAGGTTTTCAGCCTGTAGTACCTTTTATCCCCGTGCTGTGCTGCTGTGGAAGAGACGCTGGCTCAGGGAAACCTCAAAAGCAGGGCAAGAGGAGCTTATCTTCAGAGGCATTGCGCCGGCCGCACGTCCTGCGGGCTGTCCCGGGGGTGGCTGCAAGGGAAAAACCACGTTTGGGTACGTCTTAGGAGTGAAGTCAACCATTGGAGAGGGCTGCAGAGCACAAGGAGACAGGATGTAGTAAAATAAACATGAAAAAGGCGATCGGATACACGATGGCTTGGAAACTTGGCTTTTCGAGACAAACAGGCAATATGGAAGACAAGTATTGGGTCAGCAATGGCAGAGCGTGTTAGCTAGGTAGGTTTAAAGAATAAAATAAGGAAAGCGATTCAGAGGAATTCAATAGCTGAAGAGCAGCTAACACCTCACAAAATGTGCGCCCAACCTGTCTTCACAGGCTTTTTATTTGGACTTCCAAGTGAATAGAGGTGGTCACCGGCCAGAGATGATGCAACTGCAAATGCTTCAGCCTGGAGAGGTGTCCCCTCACCTTGAGGTAGCGCTTAAGAGCGGAACTCAGCTACTGTAACAGCGACATTCTTGTACAACCCGTGGTTTATAAGTTAATCCTGTTTGCCACAGGGTAAGCCCCTGCTTTATTAGTCTGAATAAATAATTGTGGGGACACACATCCCGCAAATGCGGGATATGACTTCTCACATTTAATGGAAATTGTAATACCAATGAGGTAATTTAATCTTGTCTAATGGTATCTTTTTTTTTCCCTTCACATAGTAAACCACTTGTGATCTTAGCACACCCGGAATGACACATTTGCAGGTAAAACGCCACGCAGATTCGAAATATCTTATTGAAAAAAAAAAAAAAAAAGCAGGGAATGATTTACATACTGATGGAGGGCGGGGGATAAGGAGCCATTTGAGATTTTACACCTCTCTCACGTTTCGGAAGCCGTTCCTTGCTAGAGGCACGATGTCAGGACAGCGCGGGGGCCTGGCGGGGCCTGAGGGGCCGCAGCCCGGGACCGGCTGGGCCTGAGGCGGCTTCCCGCCCCCCCCCCTCCCCGCTCTGAGGCGCCCGCGTCCCGTTATCAGTTATTATTAATTTATATCGATTTGCGGTGAGGGAGAACGAGGCGGTGCGCTTCTCCCACCCCCTCCAGTCAGTAGCATCACCAGGAGAACCCCTCAGGAGCCGCTGACCGGCGGTGACAGGACCCGCTCGCCTCAGCGCCGCCGCGCCCCGCGTTCGCCTCATGGCGGCCGCCCCCCCCCCCCGGCCCCCCCCGCCGCTGGCTCCGCTCCCCGCCGGCCCGCGCCATGAAGTGGATGTTCAAGGAGGATCATGCGCTGGGTAAGGGTGGGCCCGGGCCGGGTCCTGGAAGGAGCATAGCAGCCCGCCTTTTCACCGCCGGGTCCGCCCGCGGCTTCTCGCGGGTTGGCGCTGCGTGGGCAACGCCGTAACCGGCATGGCGGGAGGAAAGAGCGAGCCGCCTCGGCCGGTAGAAACCACCGAGCCGCCGCACGGCCGTTTGTTCGCTAGCTGCCAGGACCTGGCGAGAGGGGGCGGAGCCCACCGAGCCGGGGGAGGGGAGGCAAGATGGCGGTGGCGGTGGCGCTGAGGTTGAGGTGAGACGCCGCGACCGCCCAGCCCCGCCGAAGCCTGCCGCCCGGGCCGCACCAGCGCCGCGCCGTCGGTAAGGGCAGGGGGCCCGGCGGGGCGGCGCGGGGGGAGCGGTGCGGCCGGGGGGGG